AGAGATTGTACAATGTGTGTGACTGGATGGAAGCTGAACGCCAAAAGAGCACTACTAGAGGTGATCCTATGGATCTCAGGGACTTGGATTCTGTCAATTTTGTTGCTGATGACGAACCACAATCAGAATATTTGGGCGAGCAACAACAGGAATCTACACGGCCACATGTCAATGCGTATGAGGGTTACAAGCCAGTGTTTGCTGGCAATCGCATTATATATAACAATATTAGCGGGCCAAAAACCCTCATGATGGTTTGGAAGCGCGTTGTCACAGAGAGACAAGAATATCGACAGGAGTCCTTGGAGTTCCTCAAGATTGAGGACGGAGGCCGACAAATGCATGCCTTTCAAGAAGACCAGACACCGAGTTCTGAGATGGTTCCTACAGTGAACATTAGACAAGCTGGCTACACAGAGATCAATGGAGAGGACACTGTGGAAAGCTCATCATTGGGCATCATTGAAGTTCTTGAGGAAACAGAAGAAGGCCCAGTGGTGGACTGCCATCATATTCGGCCACCTAAGAAGAGGTCCAGTTTGTGTATCGGTGTGAAGGTGAATGGTCAACATATTCGAGCGTTGTGTGATACTGGGGCTACACATCCCTTTCTTCAATTGTCCTTGGTTCGACATCTCCAGTTTGAGCCAGCAATGCGGCCAACAACCACACGAGTGCGTATGGCTGATGGCAGAGTGGAGGCTCTTGCTAGTGAGATTCATCTGGCTATGTCCTTGAATAATGAAATGCACTCTATCAATGCATTTGTGATTGATGGAAAGGGACCATCACTTGTGCTTGTTTTTCCATTATTTAGTGACAACGGGTGGTTGATTGATGCTCAGGACCAGAAAGTCCTGTACAAAAGGTCAGGTCGCGAAGTGGCACATGGTGTAAATGAAGAAACAATGCATGCGGATGGGACAGAGCTAGCAAGACAAGAAAATGTGGGACTTGAATCTGTTACGATAATGGACATTTTCACAAAGAGAGATTTGTGTGTCCCAGCTGGAAGTCAAATCCAGGAGCGAGTGACATGCAGTTTTGACTTGGTGAGGAGGTTTGAGCTTTGTATGAAAGGACATGAGAATTTATTCCACCAAACTGGAGTGATTGTTACGGCTCAACCACCTACACAACTCAATCCGATAGAAGTTATCCTTCACCTATTCAATGTGAGCAATGAAGCAGCTGTGATCAAGCAGGTTTCAGTATATGCAAATGGATATTGGGTGCCATCAGGGAAACTCTCCGACAAGACTTCCGACCTGTCGATCATCATTGGAAAACACTAGTAGCAGCTGGGGCTGTGGATGACCCGCAGCACCTCAGCTCCAGCTGCCATACGAAGCCAAGGGTGTGTCTACGTTTGGATGTATTACAAAGTGTGGATCAGAATCTATTGCCATTTTTCCACACAAGCTGGCTGATCTTTCGTTTGGGAAGAAGCATAGTGTTTGGACCATTGGAAACAATCAATGTGCAGATACCTTTTCGACTGTCCGGTGTTTTGACTCGACCATTCATAGACTGCTTGACTGGGAAACTCGTTCAAGTGAGTGTGAAGATACGATCTGATGGGCTGTTAATAGTGATGTTGCGCAACCTCAGTGAGGCCCCAGAACATATCACACCTCATACACAAGTGTTCATGTTGTCATGTACTATTGAGCAAGTGGAATGCAAGGGGGAGAATGGTGAGAATATTCCATTGCAAGGCGCAAAGGAGATGATGAACATGGCAGTGGATAAGCCATTGACAGTGGCAGCCTTGGTGCAGTCTTTCCCACGGGTGTTCGATTTGAGTCCCAATTCCATGCATGTGACGCCTGCTCTATATTGTCTTGCAGTTGGAAGGGAATATGTAGAGTGGCATGTGAAGACTGTCCATTGGTCGTCAAGGACCCAACATCAAAGCCTCAGTCAATGTGAGCAGAAAGTTGTGAATGAATATGTGAATGACCAGAAGGAAAGAGGATTTGTCCAAAGGATGGCACCTCATGAGCGAGGTTTTTTTTCACAGTCCATGTTCATCTCGAAGAAGTCAGAACTTCCTCGGTGGGTGATCGACTTCCGAAGGGTCAACAAGCTCATATTTGCATAGGTTTCTTCTTTGAAGACAACATTACAAACGGTACAGTCAATCCCGCATCAATGGCGTGTCTTCTCAGTGATTGATTTGGATAATGGTTTTTTCCACATACCGCCACGTGAGGATCTTCAGCGATTCTTTTGCACAGAGGTTGGGGGGGAGCGCCTGATGTTCCAAAGATTACTTCAAGGGTGGAATTCATCATCAGGATTTTTCACGACATAATACGTTGTATATTATTTGATATCCCTGGGGTAATATCGTACATTGACGATATATTAATCGGAGCTCGGGATGAAAAGGAACATGACCGAATTGTGCTGGCGGTTTTTGAGCGTCTAGAGGCTTTTGGCTTTCATGTGAATAGTACAAAAATGCAATTTTGAAAGCGTGAAATGAAATTTTTGGGGTTTGATATTTCTGGGGATTCAATCAGTATGCGCTCTTACGTTGCCAAGCAAATGGAACATCTGCCGAATATTACAAGCAAGAAGGATTTCCAAACTGCACTTGGAATTTTGAATGTCTTGAGGGGATTCGTGCCACATATGGCACAGACTCTGCAGCCCTACTATGATCTTCTGCGAGAGGGAAATGTGGTGCAGAGTTGGGATACTATTTGGCAGGAGTTTCGAAAAGTGTGGGCCCAACTCTTGGCAAGTTCACTTAGCTTGATGCGTTTCAATGGCAGCCCAGAGCCTGAAAAGGATGTGTATGAATTATTCACCGATTGGAGTGGTACGGGTCAAGGCTTCGCATTGTATCTGAATGGTCGAATGGTATAGATAGGGTCTCGAAAGAACATGAAGTGGATGTGTCACGTGTCATCATTCTTAGGTGAACTCGATTCCATTGTTCATGGGATGAAGTCATGTGCATGGATTGTACGGGGAAGTTCACTTGTTGTGCACACGGATTCTGATTCCTCGCACAAAAAACTAAACAATCCTGACGTTTGGGTGAACGAGACCGATATGCGCGTTCTCAGATTGTACGGATGGAAATTAGGAAATTGGGATATTGGTGGGAATTTGCACTTCTGTTTCATTCCAGGAAAGCAAAATTCAGTTGCTGATGTTTTATCCCATTGGGATACTTTGAATGCACATGAAAACCGGGTGTGTCAGTCCGAGATTGACAATGCTAATTGGAAGCGCATTCACTACGGTCACTTTGACCTGAAGAAGACGTGGCAACGGGCTCAAATGATGCGGTTTCCTTTTGCTTATAGTGCTGTGAAACGTCAATGGCGCCGTTGCAAGGCCTGTCAAGTTTTTCGGGTTAGAAAGGATTCAGATCCGCTTGGACACATACGGAACCCGACGAAGCCTTGCGAGTTTCTTGCGGTTGATTTCATTGGGCCCTTACAGAAAAGTGGAGGATACGTTACATCCTTGTGATTGTGGATGTGCTGAGTCGGTCAGTGATGGCACAAGCATGTGCTCAATCAACTAGTGCAGCAGTGGTGCAAGGCTTAGAGCGGTGGATACACCTAAAGAAGAAGCCCAATCGAGTAATGACAGATTCAGTGTCGTACAACACGTCCCATCGTATAGAGACATGGTTCAGGGGCCGACACATCACACATTATGTGACGGCACCACATAGTCATAAGTCGAATGGGGTTGTGGAACGTGCTATTCGAACTACCATTGGCCGATTGCGTCGCATGTTATACGAGGCGGGGCATCGACGACGGTGTGCAGTATTACCTGAAGTGACTAAAGCCATCAACTCCACACCAAATGCTGTGACGCTACATACACCTGATGCCATGTGGCATACTGGACCAGTAGTTTGGCGTCGAGCACATGAACGGATGGAGCTTATACGCAAGAAGACAAACGACCGGCTGTCAACGCGACATGTTGCCCGAACATATCGAATTGGTCAAAAAGTTTGGCTGTTTGATTATGTGCGAGCTAAGCAACTGGATATGAAGTTTGAACCCTATTGGTTTGGGCCATGGAAAATTTCGAGGCGTAGGTCACGTGTTCTGTGGAGGTGGGAGATCCGAATGGTCGATTACATCTTGCACATTCTGGTGCTTTGCAGCCCTATGTAAACTAACATCGTCGTTTACTAACGGGACAAACGGGGGTGCTGAGAGATTTTGTCAACATTTCATTTACTTGACATTTCGAAGTTTAACAGTGGAGGCGTGTTGAGCAATATCACAAATATGTGGTGACTGTATTGCGAGTGGGGTGTGCATGTGGGTGCGTGACTCGGCCCAACAATGTGGCTAGGGCTGTGTGATATACTGGGTTGTGAGGGTTTGTCAAGTGCTCCTGTTTGTGCGGACACGCCATGCGCGTTGCAGTACATACCCCCAAAAAAGCCCTAAAAAATGGGGAAAAAAGGTCGTTCCAATCCAGAAAGATAAGCCCAATTCTATTCACCATATCCATGTGTCGAGTAACAATCTCATTGCTCAGTTGCTACCGCAAAAGAGCACGATGGGGACAATGGAAAATTTTGTGGCTTCCACCATCAATAGGAGATCGTTTGCATTGTGAGGCATCAAAGTGGAAGCAGTGTAGATATTGGTTTATTGGATAATGGCTTGTTAGAAATTGGGCCACTAAACAGACATCTTTGTATGAGAGGTCTTTATTCTAACCCAATGAACGAGAGAATCAAGGCATGGCCTCGTACAACTGGCAGCCATGAATGGAAGTGCATTACAATATCTCAAGGCAAGAGACATAATGGTGTTTGATTGAGGTTAAAAACCCAGCAGGAATGTGGAGCGAAGATGATATGAGCACACGATTTCTGTACAATATATGCGAGTTAACCCATTAGGACATTGTTGAGAGCACATGTTTGGAAAGGGCGCTGCTACATTCTCGTCAAAACATTCGCCAAAACATTGCCCAACAAAGGGTAGGTATTTGGAAGGCATTCAATCCACTTCCGGAGTGGCACGGGCCACAAATGGAGCCGCCATCATGTGGTCGAGCAGCCTGGTGGGTAGAAGAGAGTACGGATAGAAGATGAAGTGTACACCCTTCCCACATAGATACCTCGGTCTGGGGTACCTGCGTTGCAGTTAAAATATATCCAAGAGCTATTAGTTGCACATGTGACCAACTACTCCATGGTGTTGTCGTTTTGGCATCATCGTTTCACAAATTGTTATCACAACACTACCGTCATCATTGCCATTCTATAGTTTGCACTATCTTTACCGGTAATGTTGATTTGACAAGCAACTAAGCAACTACTAAGCAACCACATTTGCCCAGTAGGCAAAAGTAATGTTGATAAATCAATAATGGATCATAATTGCTTCAACAACACTTGGATACAATAATTCATTCATATTTTCATTTGCTATATTGATTAACAGCCATTGGGAAAATAGAAATTTACTGACTTGTGCTTTGATCACTTGTGCTTTTCCAAGTTATGTAGCAGTTTGTGTGGCAAGTGCTACTATGCACTGCCTTGCAGGCTCCCAAAAGCGATTGCTCAATGTCAACGATTTATTGAAGTCTTTGGCGACAAAGTTTACGTTTCAAAGGTGACAAAACAAATGCATCCATGATTCAGGGATCAATTGGCACGCCTGCAGGGCGCCTTTTGCTCTGTTGGAAGGCCGTTCCAACCTCTCTCTAGATTGTTTTGATTTTGGTTCACTTTGCAAAATCCCTCAGCATCATTTTGCTCGAGTTGTGTGCACTCCTTCTCGCGCTGGAATACTCAACATCGTATTTGCACAGTACAGAACAGACAAACTTCTTGAAATGGGGCGCCCTTTGCATGTCTTGTATTTCTATGTGAACAAATTTGTTTTAATCATACAATAAAATATATAAGGTTTAAGGTTTAAGCCTTAGTCATCTACCCATAGACACCCCATCCATTCAGCACTAAGAGTGCTAATGTAAGTGTCTTCCCTTGCTTCTACCCATTTTCTTGGATGAGCGTAAATTTGATACTCAAATTTGATATTAACTAGCTCACTGCAGTGCGCACCGTTCGAACACGTGAACCGCTGCGGCTAACATCCAGAAACCGGGATGGAGTTACAGCAACGTTGCGGTCCTTGCTACAACGAGTTTGTTGATGCACCGCCTGCCAATATTGCTGCAGTGTCCATGCATCCACGCCTAACAAGCAACAATGACCATATTTTTGATGAACTCGGTAATCGATAGGATGTTGAAATTCACGCATCATGAGCTTCATCGGCATCAGGGGCAAAAATGCCGATGGAGCATTGATGCGCAAGGCTTGCAGCAGCATTGATAGGAGCGCGTCAACATTCTCGCTGCAGCAAGGCCCATCAACGTTGTTGTAACTCGATCCCGATTTCTGGATGAAACCTTCAGCAAGCATTGGGCCAGCATCCAGCTGTGTTGAGCTGCATGAGCAGCTGTAAATGATTTGACTGAATTCTTCGCACAGCGACCAAGGCAATGGTCAATTTTGCCGCAAGGATGTCGGCACACCCACCTGCACCGCAGCGCTTTGAGCATGGGCCCCATGATGATGTCGGGCTCAACAGCAAACGTCTTGATCATATTGATCATATACTCCGCCACCTCAGTCATCTGCCTCTCCCCCCCATACCGCTCCCGTATCGCAGCATCAGTGCGATAGAAGGGCTCTTTGATGATGCTCTCCGTGTACTCCGGCTGGGTCATACCGGTCTTCAGGAATCCTGGCAGGATCTGAACCACCTTGACGCCCTGGGACTGGAGCTCCCGGCGCGCCGAGTCGCTGAATGCGGTTGCTGCGAACTGGCAAGAATGGCACCGAAACTACGGTGAAAATGCGCTCAAATGCGGTTAAATGGTGAAAATGCGCTTCAAAAAATGTAAAAACTTTCCCTAAATTCGCTGAAAATGCGCTGAGAATATGGCAAAAATATATACTCCATAGTATACAGTGAACGACGCAGCGAAGATGGCCCGAAAGTATGCTCAAATCACTAGGGAAAAAAGGGCCAAATAACATGTGCTCAAACGTGTACAAAGTTTAAGGGTTTGTGTTATTTTTGTGTTCTTAGTGTGCAGAACGTTGATGAAATGTGTTTTATATGTGTTATTTGGCCCTTTTTTTCCTAGTGAATGGGCAAGAAAATGATGAAAGTCGCACAAAAACAAGTTGGCACGGCGCAGGCACGTTTTAGAAATAAACGATTTGGACTTCTGTAACCATGATGTGCGTCAGCATGTGTCAGGCAAACAGCACATTTAAATAAATCTGAGGCCGTCCCCAGTAAGAAACCGTGTACGACACTTTATTAGTAAGCAATCTTCTCTGCCGATAATGCCAACGGCACTGGCTACTGTTGCCATGGCATCCTGGCCAGTTCCGCGGTGTGGCGCATTGACAGCCGCATTTCGCAGAACGGAAAACTGACGGCTAGCCACTTCGAAGGTCAGGGCGTGCAGTACAAAGTGTGAGAAGCCTTGTGTAGGAAACGGTTCTCCCCGGTGTGGGCGCCCATGCCATCCTTTTGGCGCTATTTCACGTGCGGAATGAGCTTGTGCAGATTCGCATGACACAAGCCAAAAAAAGGGCCAAAATGCACTGTTTTCAGCCATGCAAAACTCACACAAAACCGCGCCAAAACAGGTAAAAATCAGATACACTAACTCAATCGTTACAACATGGCTTGGTCTCACTCTATACAATTTAACACAATTTTCAATTGTGTTATACGGTACACGATTTTCAAAGCGGCGCATTGTGGCCCGTTTTGTACTCGTGCAAAATACACACTGTCCTCTTGGCGCGAATGCGAGCATTAAGCCTCGAAGCTTCGAGAGAGTACGGCATGTTTACCAACGCTTGTCAGTAGCGACAAAGGTTGCCCATGCAGGTGCAACAAAAGCGACTTCTGCATCAGCGCTGTTCGCATGGGAACATGCAGTCGAACATGTCCGCATACTGATGTGCGCGATGGCTCACGGCAGGACATTGAACGGACATTGTTCGGACTTTGTGCGCCCTCAACTTCCGCATTTGCAAGGTCACTATTTGTCATGGCTGTCAAGGAACACATTAACGCAGATCTTCTGAGTTTTGAGATTCTTCCTAGTATGCAGTTGTTGCTTTCGAATTCTGTACTGCCAAATCTTGAAGTTTTCGGAGATTTGCACTTCGATGCAAATTAACACTTCAATGGATCCCAAACCGGCAAACAGGCTAGTTAATATTTAGGCTTATTTGAGTACTAAAAGGAAACGATCACCAGCAGGAAACAGCCTATTCGTGATGCCAATTGCGACACCATTTGACACAAATTGATGCCATCGCAGCCGCTTTTATGCCATCGCAACCACTGTGACGGCATCATTCTGTGTCAAAATAGCATCGCAGTTTGCATCGCAGACATGCCGTTTTCTATCAGTGGATTGGATTGATTTGGTTTCATCTTCGAGCCTGCTTCTCCGCCCCTGCGCACCTTGGACGCCGCGTAAGCAGAACCCCCGGGGCCCGCACCCAAGGCGGCACAGCTGGTGATGTTCACAATCCGCCCCCGCGCCTCCACCAGCAGCGGCAAGAATGCCTTCGTGACACGGATCATGCCGAACAAGTTGACGTCCATCACGGCCTTGTACTCCTCCATGGATGTGAACTCGACGAGCATGCCCTTCGCTATCCCCGCGTTGTTGATGACGGCGAACAGCGGGCGACCCTCCAGGCGGCCCTTCACGAAATCGAGCCCCGCCGCCACACTGGCGTCGCTCGTGACGTCCATCAAAAATGGGCTCAGACGGTGGCCTTCACTGGTTTCAGCTTGCAGTGCGTCAGCGCCTGCCAACCGCAAGTAAAATGTCGGCCAAAATACGCGGATTTGAAGCGTGTAAATCGTCTAGAACCGCGCCAAAACGTGCAAAAATCATGTGCGCTCACTGACTCAATCGTTACTGCAAGGTTTGGTCCCATTTTCACTGTGGATACACGATAACGACAAAGTTTACCACGATTTTTGAAACCGCGTACTTTTTGACCTGTTCTTTTGAGTAGTGAGCGCGAATCGATGCAACAACGCATTGCATTCGTCCACGAATGTTCGTGCATTATTGCACACTAATGAGCCTCATGTGCCTCATTACTCATCTCCATCCTCACTGTGTATTGATGGCACATCACTATGCCCCATGTGCAACGACGCATTGCATTCATCGAGCCACCGGCACAGCACATTTTTGGATTCCAAAATATTGCATCACGTTCCATTGTCAAGGTGCAAGACCCGTCCTGTCACAAGGCATGCGGCCTTGTGCCCTTAGCGAGGGAGTGTAAGGCGATGTAAAGCCCCCAGTGCTGTTCGAACCCAAGAATGCTCAGCCTCAAACAAAAGAATTTCAGCACTCCGGGGGCGGGGGACCTGTCAGATCAGCAACAAAATTTAAGCCTGAATTTGTCTCTTTGTTTCATCCAGTGCACCGACACTAGAAAGCCGGTATAGCTGCTCAAAAGTGCGTTTTGAATTAAGTGGTTTGGCTTAGTTTGATTTGCAAGTTGCGTCGTGTTGGGCCCCAACAGCTAGAGACGTCGGACGCCTCAGGTTCCAGGTCGCCACGCAGTGATGCAGAGAACCATGCACTTGAAATTCGAACGAATCACCGAATGTACCTTGAATACATCGCGGTGAAGCAAAATGCTTTTGGGACAAGCGGTATGGGGTCCAGCACTTCACAGTAATTGCCTGTACATAAACAAACGACACAGCACCATCACGTACTCCAATCAGCAAAATTGACACGCCAGTTTTGCTGACTGGAGCAATGCAGGCGTTGCGCCGCTGTCGAACGTGGCAGTGTTCGAAAATGCATATATGAATATGGGGATGTTGTAACGGACAGGATTGGATTGAAATGGCAAGCAACGACCACTCACCTGACGACGTGAGGCATCCCGCAAAGACATGGGCTCTGTGTGTTCTGGCCAGGTGGAGGGCGATGCAGCGTCCAATGCCGGAGTCGCAGCCCGTCACGACGATGGCCGCTCCCTCGAGGGATCGCACGCCGGGCAGGGCACAAATGACACGATCAAGAAGAAGGTACAGCAGCACGAGGGCGGCGATGGCTAGGGTCGCTGCGCCTATGAATTCGAGCATGGTCATCTCCTCGGGCTGGAAAACAACACCGCCTGGTGTCAGGCAGGGAAATAGGTCAGCTGTGGATGGGCTTGTGCTGGCGACCCGACTAGGAGCGCCCAGGAAATGAATGTCTTGGGAGTCCGAATCAGCGTTCTTGCGTAGGAATCGGCCCCTGTGACATGGGGGTTCCGTGAGTGCCACTCACGTAACCGCCATGTCACAGGGCTCTCCGAGTCGCGTGCTGCGGGCATGCGTCCCTCCGATGGGCCGGTGGCTGCGCTCGAGGGCGGCCGACGGGAGGCGCGGCTATCGCTGTTGCGGCTGCGGCGCGCCCTGCCCGCCTGCGGACGAGGCGCGGTTTCCCGGCGCGATCCCGCGTCGTCACGGCGGCAATGAAAACCATCGCCGGCGGCCATCGCCACGGCGGCGATGGCCCGCGCCCAAACGCCCGGCTCGGCATTGATGTCCCCGCGAGGGCTCCAGTCGGGCCGTGGAGCAACTCCAGAGCCTTGCAGCGCTCTGTTGTGGCAACCATCGGCACGGCGACCGCGGCACCGGATGCGACCAGCGCGCCCCTCAAGGGTTACGGGCCAGCGTCCCGGGCCCCCGGGCCATCGAGTGGATTTTTGGAGGGCGGAGAGCGGGGGTGCGGCCCCTGCCCGGGCCGGGGGGCGTGCTTGACCCCGAACACGGGGTGGGGCATTGACCTCCGCCATGGCAACAACAACGGTGTGTGTGTGGTAATCACGTACCGTGAGTGTCGAATGTCCTCTTCGTCGATTACGGGCAACGCGGCTGCGGCGATGGCTTGCGAATCAAACGTGCGGGTTGAAACGGGTTTCCCTAAAGGGCTCTCCCGGGTGATAGCGGGCGCGAACTCTTGCGACGGTGCTGTGTGGCCCTGGGCACAGCGACAGCGGCAAAGGACGCGGTAATGAGCGAAGGTGATGAGCAGATTCTCACGGTATTCAGAACATCAGCAACACAACCCAGCCACCGAGTGAGCAGGCTTTGAACGGATAAGGTAGGAACAAAGCAGGCCGACGGCCCGACTTCTGAACTGGTTTTGTATGCATTTCAATCTCAACATCGAAAACAGTAGTGGTGCGGTTGTCGCAATATTGTGAAAAGTAAGGAATGTTGTGGATATTGCCATTCATTGGTGCTTGTTCATAAATTGTCGCCGCCTCCTTGCCAAGCATTTTACGACGGCCTTTCAACTATTGGAGTGGCGGCAAAGAATCAGAAATCCGGTCGAAGGAGATATGCTCTCCAGTAGAGAAAAGATGTGTCACTCATTTATTGACCAGACTCTTTGGACACTTGAAGTAATGCATTGCACGCATGAACGCAGATCAAAGACGAGAATGGCTAAAACGACATGATCAAAGACACACGACCTCACCGCATTGTCCACTACTTCGTATTGTAAAAACATGATGCGGCTCGAGCTTGGCCTGAACCGTCTTACTACTGCAATTTACTTTCACTGTAGAGATTGTAATATGTTCTCATAAGTAGCATCAACACAAGTAATGCTTGCCAATTAATAGATAATTTTATGCCAGTGGGCCGGGTCGCAGCGACCCTGCCCACTGGCATAAAATGGCTGCGGCAGCCAACACTGCCAACAGTTTCGGAGGCAGAAAAGCAAATGGGCTTATTGCGCGGGCAAAAGGCCACGTGTCCCACTGTTGGCGTCGATAACCTACTGCCAGTATGTCTTGGGGGCTGAGGGTGAGATATCTGTTGAGAAAAGGCAAAAAACTCGGCGAAACGGATATCTCCGATTTGCAGACAGCAGAAAGTGGGCGGAAGGCGTCGATGTGGCCGCCAGGCTTTCATTCGCCGCTCGCGGTCCATTGCAGCCCAACTGGGCAATTGCAGTTCGATTCGCTGGGGCGTTCAGCGCACCAGGCGCGCAGCAAAGACAGCCGACGGGCAGCAATCCACAGCCGTGGTGGCGACTCGCAGGTCGATTGTTTGAAAAGGCCCAACCTCCGGCGACGTCGCTGGGGGGGGGTAAACCCCGGCGACGTCGCCGAAAGGGCCGAAAGGGTAAGGAAGGATGGCTGGGCGACAGCAGCGTGGGCGGTGTTTGTCGCAAGGGGGGATGGGGGGGTCGTCGGGGCCGTCGACGGCGTCGGCAGGACTCTCAGTTCTCCCACCTACCCACAGCCACGGGCGGCGACATCGTCCCCCCCGGCGACGTTGACCGAGATTGGGACTCTAGAGTAGACTGTAGTCCAAACGCGGCCGGGAGCAGTCCAAATGCCGAATGCAGCTGTGATTGTGGCCACAGGGCTTCTCCGGCCGTGCCCCTCGAAGCCGGCCTTACCGGAAACGCCGTTGGGAACAAGCCGATGGGAAAGTTTTCAAGGCGGCGCCGAGGCGCCCACAAGTCCCAGATTGGGCCTGCTATTAACAAACTCAGGCCCGTGCCAGGGGCAGGGGGGCAGCCGCTGGATCAAAAATCGGCGACAACACCACAGCGTTGCTGGTCCAGTCAGCGAAAGACCCGCATACCGACGCGTGACGTGTCGGCTGGCGATACAATTTCGGGCGGCCATCCGACTCTATCGCGCGCTGCCCGATGGAGGTGTCCGTCGGCGGAGCAGCGTGGGGCGGTCTCCGCGCACCGTCCCAAGCTCGCCGCTAAAGAGACGGAAAAGGAACGCAACGAAAACAAATTTCCAGCGGCCGTCTAGCGACCGTCCAGCGATCGCATTAACCACGGCCCAGTTCCTTTTTCGTCGAACGGGGACGATCCAAGAGAAGCTGCCCCCCGCAGCCACCATAAGCACTGTCACAGACGCGTTCTGGCAGGTCATCGCCTCCCAGGTGCAAGGGCCTTGCCTTGTCAGGTGCTTCGGCAAACGCAAGCGACGGCAACTCTCACGCGCTCCGGGGTGGCCGTGTGCCTCGCGGGCACGGAGACCCACACAGCAAAGCAAAAGCGACCATCCGATGGGAACAAAACAGAGAGTGGTGGGAGGGGACAAAGCGGTGGGCAACGGAGAGGAAACTGAAAGTTGGCGATCTTCCCGGGCAGGAGGATCGCCAAGGCGGGGCGCACCAGGGGGGGCCTTCGAGGTGCTCGCGACTTCGCTGCAGCAGCGTCGGTGGCTGGAAGCGATTCCTTCGCGCGGTACAAGGACGTCGTTCTGGAGCCGTGTGACTTCTTGCCTGCAGCGGCGCCCGCTGTCCTCAAGAGAAGGGATAAGGGTCAGCGAAGGCAAAACGACACGCAAGACGCCGATTTGCATCCCGGCAATTGGGGGCCTACGGCGGCAGAGCCGGGCGACGTTCCCGGCGACTTGGTGACAAATCACTTCTTTCGATGTACTATCATCTACAATCGCTTTTCTTAGCATTAGGAATTAACAGATTCGTAGCTTTTGTTTATGTCTGAAATGAGATTTCAATGGACTGACCATAGACACTGCTTTGCTCGGCCAAAATAGGGAGTTGACCTCATTGCCTTGTTTTGTAAAAAGTGATGTTGATGATGATGGCAAATCTCCGGGTGGCGGCGCTTTGGCGACGCCAAGTGAATGATGACGAGTCATGGTGCGCCCCCGGCACGCTGGTGCGCACTCGAACGCCAATGTACGGAATGCCATGCGAACGTCTGACACCCTTCATTGTCCGGACGTGAAGGCAGCGAAGATCGTGAAGGTCATACACGCCATTTTCGGAATCTTGCAGAGTTTCAGGGTTTTCGGGGCGTTTTGGTTTTTGAGGTTTCGTGTATTTACGTTTTAGGTCACTGACCTGGACAACGGACCTAATTCTTGAATCAACATTTCATTTTCGAATTCAACACTCATGCGTCATCTAAATCCTTTTCCTGGGAAGGCTCCACGGCGCAGTATTTGCAGTCCACTCCCAGTCGACAGCAGAACGATAGCTCGCGAATTCAACATGGCCATTGTTGAAGGCCAGTTTCTCCATCCATTAGGGCCAGGCATCGGATATTCTGTGCGGGAAATGCGTTACAGGTCTTTCCACTTCATTTCTTGCCAGTACATTATCTTTGCTGAAACGTCGCCATCGGACCACGATCTGGTCGTTGCAAAGGTCATGGGAAAGCGACAGATTGGATGAGGGGCGAGTGGTGGACAACCTGCTGACTGAGGGCTTGCAATAGGGCATGATGAGGGATCTGCGACCCCGGCATGAAGATAAATAAACGCGAGTGCGTAATTCTCAGAATCGACTGGATCAGCAGTTCAATAGCTTAAGACTGTCGAGCGTCGGCGCTATACCGTATAATATACCGTATACCACTATAATGTTTCACACCACGTCTGAAACTTGCGCAGCGGCGTGCTGCACCCCACGCCCAACTCGCCGACAGTGAAGGCAGGAGATCAAAAAGTGGCAGTTCTGAAAATCCCGGCGCAAGAATCTTCCCTGATAATGGCTGCACAAGAGCAGTGATCATCGCTACACGGAACCTGAGAGACCAATCCCCTGAAGGACCAAAGTTTGCAGCAGCGAAACGCCGTTCACCCGACGGAAGGCGGCCGAGGCATGCAACCCATTTGCTGCCAAGACATATACAGTAAACTGATGAACAATACTTATCATTCCAAATTTAGCGTTGAGTTTCGCACCCGCTTGCCCGAAAAGAGGCTCTGCGCCCATCAACTCGCTATCATGCGGTCCAGCAGCCTGGTGGGCAAAAGAGATAACGGATAGAACATGAAGTGCGCATCCTTCCCGCACAGGTACCTCGCTCTGGGATACCTGCGTCGCAGTTAGGCCACACCCACAGGTTAGGAACGGTGCGGGCAAGAGACCGCACCACGTTGTTGCATTGCATTACGATGGCACAATAATCATGACGTCATCACTTCAAACTATCATTACGGAAAATGTGCTGTCATGATAATGTCATCTGTATTGAATGTTTGTGTTGTTGCTGGACACAACATCCATTTAACAAGAAACGAAGTCTGCCTTTTCAGGCAAACGCGACGCTGATGCAATAGTTCAGCACCAGACGCAGGAGCACAGCTGCCCAACAGTTTTTCGAATTTGTCGAATTTGTCCAAAGCGCCAATCCACACCGAGTTTTCTTAATTAAAATGGATATTGTCAAGACTACTGCGCACAAAACTTGGATAAAGGGACAAATCCGGAAAATGGACGCCCTTGGACTCCATGAACAGCAAATTTCAAAACCGTATCCAGTCCCAAGTTTTGAACTTCGATTCCAGTTTTGAAGTGAGATGTCCATGGAGCGATGCAAAAAGCAACAACGCCGAGCAACACCATAACTGCCACGGCAAATTTTGCATTCAAAACAGTTGAGGGCACGCACCTGCACCGCAACGCTTTAAGCACGGGCCCCATGATGATGTCGGGATCAGCGGCGAGAGTCTTGATCATGTTGATTGTAGCTTCCGCCGCCTCAGTGATCTTCTTCTCTCCGCCGTAGCGCTCCTGCATCGCGGCATCCGCGCGATAGAAAGGCTCCTTCAGATTGCGTTCCAGAAGCTTCGGCTCGGCCATGCCGGTGTTCATGAATCCCGGCAGAATCTGAACCACCTTGACGCCCTGAGACTGCAGCTCCCGGCGCGCCGAGTCGCTGAACGCTGTAGCTGCGAACTGGGACAAATGAAACCAAAATGTCGTTAAATTGGCGAAAAATATTGAAAATCGCAAGAAATTCATTGAAAACGGCGCCAAGAACGCCGCGGAAATTGGTATCAGAACAGGGAAAGGGTGCTCATAAACATGAAAAAAATGGCGGCAAACAGCTGCAATTGTGCCAGCAAGACAACAGCGTAAACGGCGCAGCACACGTGGCGAAAATGAAAATACAAATTTTGAAAATTGTGAAAAGAATGCAATAAAAATGGGATTAGATATACGGCGAATGTGTATCAAAACCATAGCAAAATCGCAACAAAAAATAATGATATTGCGCTAACAATAGGCGCCCATTCGCATTTCCCAGCACTCAATGTTTGGGTGCCTACAAACACGGGTTTATATCGTCAACAATGCACATTCCTCAATTTCACTGTTCGAACACCCACACATGCAAAACGCAGAGCGCAATGGAAAACAAGGAACAGATGGGCAAAATGCACATGCGACAGCTTTCCGACAGCAAAACCGTCATTGTTACAAATAAGTTCCCATTTTTCATCACGTGGCTAGATCAGAATCTTAAGGGAAACGCAACACTGCCAAATCAACCCGGCCACCTCTTCCAATCCCTTGTCGCGCGCTATCTATTGACCGACCGTCGCTGGTGTTAGCGTCGTAGTTGAAGTTCGAGAGCGAATTTAGACAAAGAGAATGGTCAATTTTCTGCATTCCGGCGAGTATTGCATGCGGATTGGAATTGGGCAAAGAGCGATCCTGAACGCTGACCGGCGTTGCCAATTGTAGCGCCGACGCAATAGTTCCAAACACCGAGAGAGGCGATGGATTCGTTCCACATGTCAGGAGCAGCAGCGCACAGATCATATTTTTGGGAAAATGGTGCCGAGATTAGTAATTTGCAATGCTTGCTCGCATTGTTTTTTCTGAAGGAATGGTACATCCCTTGCGCTGTTGCAAGGGCAGCCTTCTTGGTCAAGAAAGGCGACGGCAGGCGTAATTGCAGCTAAGTCATTTGCGAATCAACGAAATGGTTACAGCTTACTTCGTGACCATTGTTCCGCAATTCCAAATCACAATGACATGCGATCTTGCATGCCTTGCTGCCGATGTCCGGAATCGCATAGGATGAAACACTGGACGAACGTCCGTTGCGCATTCCTGCGCCCACGTTTTGCTTGAGTGACACGGCCCACGTTTCTCACGGCCTTTTCTTGTCACCGAACTGATTTCGGAAAAAGCACGGAAGTTCAACTCAATTCAGTGTCTCCCTTGACTTAGTTGTCTCCAAGTTAGATTGCGTTCGCCGGCGTTTGTCTTCGCGCACCTTGGACGCCGCGTACGCAGAGCCTGCGGGTGCTGCCATCAGCGCCGCGACGCTCGTGATGCTCACGATCCGCCCCCTTGCCTCCACCAGCAGCGGCAAGAACGCCTTCGTGACCCGGACCATTCCCAAGTAGTTGACGTCCATAACCCCCATGTACTCCTCCATTGTCGTGAACTCGACTAGCATGCCCTTAGTCACCCCCGCGTTGTTGATGACGGCGAACAGCCGGCGCCCCCCCAGGTGGCTCTTGACGAATTCCAGCCCCGCCGCCACGCTGACGTCACTCGTGACGTCCATGACGAAAGCCCTGAGGCGCTGGCCTTGGCTTGTTTCAACCTCCAGGGCGTCGGCGCCTACCAGAGTTGAAAACAGCAACAGAACAATGTGGTGTTCTTCTTAACGGCTGCTGAGATACGAGAATTGATATTAGAACGCTGAAGTTCGAGCACTGGCGATGAACGGTGCTGATGTGATTGCGAACAGGGCTTGTGCTTGTTACGAAAGCCAATCGTACCCAGTACGGAATTCGCTCACAACAGACAAGCGCCCATGCTGGACTTCCAATCTTGAACAGTTGGTGCAAGATTTATTTTGTACTCTGTGCTTTGATGTGTATTGTTGCATTTTGCTGCGTTTTGCCGTATTTCGTTTGTACGGTATTTTCCTCTAAGTGCCCTCGCTGTGAATATGCCGACGTTGCTACAGACAGGGCCGGGTTCTAAAGGGAGGCAAGGTCTCACCTGACGACGTGAGGCACCCAGCGAAGACATGAGCTTTGTGCGTCTTGGCCAGGTGGAAGGCCATGCGGCGTCCGATGCCGGAGTCGCATCCAGTCACGACGACGGCCGCTCCCTCAAGGGAATGCGCGCCGGGAAGCACGGAAATCACAAATTCGAACAGAAAGTAGAGCAGCACGAGGGCCGCGAAGGCCAAGGCACCGGCACCTATAGACTCGAGCACGGTCATCGACTGGGAGTACAAACCCAGAAAATGAGATATTCAGCGATGGCGAAAACTGTCTTTGAAACGCAAACTTCGCTCGATAAAATTTATCAGGAAGGGAAATGCTTCGCCCGTGATTGAAAGCTCAGTCAATTATGAATAGAATTCACAATTCTCAATTACGAATAGAATTCCTAAAATATCCAATTCAATTATGGTGCTATTGTGATTGTATTGTGTACTTGTAAGGCGGTGCACACAACAGGTTCCCCGCCATCGGCCACCCTCCTTATCAATGCATGGTCAAAGCACTTTTCGTACTTTGAATGGTATCCGATTCGGAATACGATTCGGAAGTCTCCGAGTGCAGCAGAGCGTGCGCACCACAGATTGCAGTCTGGGTATTCAGCAAGAACTCTCCTGTGTAAGAGGAAACGAACTCTAGAAGTGAACAAACTCGTGGTTCGTGCGTTCTAAGTACTTCTACCCATTACTTCTATGTATTTCTCAATATTTCTTAGCATACACAGTATTTATGATCAGTAACTCTAAATTCCGCACGTCGACACAGAATAATGGTGAAAACGGGAGGACAGACGCAGTCAAGCCCATGCGATTTCGCCACACCATCCAGTACTTCATCTTTCGCAAAACGTTTACCATGATTCTAACTGAGATCGAATCATGCAAAATCGTTATTATAGTGATGATGATACTGATGTGCTGCTGGTGGAAATGGCAATTATGTGTCAATAGGCAATTGTATGTATAACAAATCAACGCGCCAAATGTGCTGAATGCGGCCAGTTGCGCTGCAATTGGCATGGATACAACGAAGAACAATTTTCTTGAAAGCATATTATTAAGTCATACAGCTTTGAACAGGAATGTTAGGAAAAGCAGTGCTTGAACAGTGGCAGATTTGCCTTCCAACCAAACAGTCCATGGCCAAAAATATACCTGGTCAGATAATCACCAACCAAAATTGATGGTTATTCCCATTGCATCCATCCATTTTGATATTTCTTTAACAAACGGGTGCCTGAGCAGGTGGCGGATGTGCCATTGCCTATATTGAACAGATGGCAACATAATCTTAAGAAATGACTTTGACATAATGTTAAGATGTTTATAAGGTTCAGTACTTTAGAGTACTTGTTTGCACCACATTTTATGTTGGGGTGATCACTTTTCAACTTTGCATAACTTCCTTCAAGCTCTTTTGAGTTCCTGTCCACAAATTCTGTTCAGGGTTCAAGAGTCCACAGGTAGAAGCGACCTCACAGGTTCTCAGCTCTGGTCTTTTCAGTACAACTGGTACAACTCAATACTATGAAGTACTAACCCTTGTACCACTTCTACCAGAAAGGACTGGCAGGCTACCAGACTGGCAGACTGGACCAGAGAATTGCATTTCAGGTTACTCTTTCCCCCCTGGAGCACCCAGCACCCAGCAGTCCTGGCGTGGGGTAATTTCAACACCACAATGATGCAGCATTAGCTTTGGCCGAAGCAGCAGTTTATCAGTTCTTTTCTTTGGGAGTTTAGGGCAGTCTACCTGCTGACAGAGCTACAGATTCAGCAAAGGAGGTTGTCGTTCTGTGGACAGAATTCAACGAATGCCTGCGAAGTGGTCATCAGAGGCTCATCCACAATCGTGGTGGATTGCAGCCGGAGCTGGCTGATTGCCCAACCAGGCAGGGTGCCTTTGAGAGAGTTGATTCAGTTTTTCGGAGTCCCTTCCTGCGCTGGAATGGATTTGTTACACTCCGAGAGAAAACAGTTCGTACAAGGGCCCCCCTCCTGAACAAGTGTGCGTGTGGCTCTTTCCCTGGGCTGGGTGTGCAGAGAGGACGGTTCCCAGGCAGCAATCTGCATTCGTAAAGATCAATTGCCAATCGATTGCAATCGATTGCAACCCACTGTGGCGAATGGGACCAGGCGAGCTGCCACCGGACTTCCTTGCCCACATCCCGCCAGGACAGCCTTGCTGGAGACTCCACAGGATATCGATGTCGCAGGCGCTCGTCGTTGCAGCACCCACCTACTTCCAGACTGGCCTGAATATCTGACCCATTTTCAAGACGGCTCAACATTGACGCCCAAGCCACCAATGGCCCAAGTCTCCAGCGCTTTATCAGCCAGCGTGAAGCGGCGTCCAAAGCGTGTTTCGAAAGACGAGCCGCCAGTCCGCATCGCCACAAGCTCTGGGCGAGGGCCGACCATTTGTACCAATAAGGAAACTTCAAAAATCAACGGTTTGCATCCAAACATCGCATTGCCGGAAAGCACCGCCACTTTCGCCGAGTTAAACTGATACGAATCAGCGCTCCAATGGACCCCCAAGATCCCCATGCCCCTGAGCATATTTTCTTGCCGTTTGTGTTTTCTTGCGTTGTGTGCCCATCATTTCGCATCGGAGGGTTTATGTCATCTTTTTGCAGCACATGGAAAAAGAGTCCATCGTACACTTGCTTGGGAGGGGGTGCCCTTTTTATGACCTGTTCTGTTTCCCTTTTGCAACACACCTTACCCACGGCACCCAGATGCCTGCAGAGCGGAAAGCAAATTCGACCAACCGACTCGCCGAAATTCACCAAGGCAGCACCAAAGAGAATCACCAAGATGAAGGCCAGACGCACCGTGATGGACCCCCGGGATTCGGGTGAACTCGCTCTGAAAAGGCCGGTGGCTTCAAGCGATTCTGTTCCACGGGGCAAGGCTGGCGTCCCGGAGCCGTGGCCACCAGCCAAGGAGGTGGATAGTGCTCAACTTGCAGCAAGGGACATGTGAATGATCAGGCAGTGTTAGCGCGATATGACCCCCCTCTCATCAGTGCTCCCTGGAAGCTGTGAGGCAGTCGGCCCTCGATGAGCAAACCGAGCCATCTGTCAAGTGATCCCGACGAGAATGACTAATCTCCAGGTACCTGGATACGAAGTGCGTCCAGCATCGTGTCACACGACGGGCCTGCGCCAGAATATATATTACATTTTACAGATGTTATATTTCTCTAATGTAAGATTATATTAGTCCCTCTGTCTCTTCCGTGAGAATCCCTTCTTGTGCTGACAAGGACAACGCCGGTCAGTGGTTTAGGAATTAGCGTGTCTGAAACAAGAAGGAATCTTCACGGAAAAGACAGAGGGGCTAACTAAATGCATTAGAAAAAAAGAGCCAAATAACACTTTTGTGAACACACGTAAAACACATTTCATCAAAGCTCTGCACGCCAAGAACACAAAAATAGCACAAACCCGTAAACTTTGTACACGTTTGAACACGTGTTATTTTGCCCTCTTTTCCCTAGTGATGCCGGCCTGCACCCTGTCGCTTGGCCGTTGGCTGCAGGGCCATAAACCCGCCCAGGCCGTTGACCTGCAGTCGAGAAGACAACTGACCCAATGTGACCAGACTAGTTGCGCCCCTCAGAATCGCCATGTCGACTGGCAGAAAACGATTCTTTGGCGAAAATGGGACAGGAGTTAGTACTTTGTCATCTTTTGTATTTTTTTTGCTGGGGCGCGGCTAAAACATGATTCGCAGTGGCGACGCAGGTCGTGGTGTCAGGAAGAGCTGCCAGTGATGCACTTTGGATGGCGTTGATCCAGCTTGACCTTCTCCGACCCCTCGCTTGCCCTCGCAGGGGCGCCCTCGAGCTGCGAAACGAGTTGCGGGAAAGGTACGCCAGACAAATAGGAGATGCGCAGCACAGCAAAGATCGGAATGGGTGCAAACGTTGCCTAAGAATACAGGCACCAGGGTGCCGTCAGAAACTTGCCACCGATTCTGCACTAGGCACACCAGATCCGTGAAGCTCAATGGAGACCTGGGTGTACCCGCAACCAGCGCTGTACCCAAACTACGGCAGTCTCGTGCAGGCTGGCGCAGTCCCAAAACAGCCCAAGCCTTGATGCGTCTGCGTTAACCAAGATTGCAGGAACGTGCCGTCGTGCACAGTACGTAGACAAATGGCAGTAGGCTGCCACTATTGGTCCACTATTGGTCCACTATTGGTCCACTATTGTTCCGCTAGGCAATATTTGCGATGCACTCTCTCGTGACAGCAGAAATACAGATCTCGAATTCACATGGATCTTGTTCAGGGCCAACGTTCCCTCATCTTGAGAGGCCAGGTATCCTACCTTCTGTTGGGGAATGAGGTACAGAGCACTGTAGTGCAATACATGGCTGGGCCATTTTTAGTAATACTGAAAGGGCGTTGTTGGATAAGGGTGTGCTCGTTGCAGAGGCCATGGGGAAGTCACAGCGTGGCTCAAGGAAGGACGGTGGCGAGCACGAGGACTGACAGCAAACAATAGAGCAAAGATGAGGAATCTGCGACCCTACCACAAGATGAATAAGTCGGCACGTGATTTCCAAAATCAAAGAAATCAACGGTCGAGAATCTGAGCTGTCTGTGGTCGGAGCCACACCCGTGTTGACGGCGCACACCACGTCTGAAACTTTCACTGAAACTTTCCTGGAACTCGCCTGAAACTTTCCTGGAACTCGCCGATTGCGAAGGGATGGGGTGAAACAGCGGTCGCTCTGGCAAGCGTTGGCGCAAGGACATTCCCTGGAAACTGTTGCACGAGAGCAGTGATCGCGGCTTCGTGCAGCACGAGGCTGGGACATGAAAAGGAACAACGTTTACAGCACCAAAATGCCACCCAGGCGGAAGAAGGGGACGGAGGCGTGCAACCCCTTTCCTGAAAAACTTGCGCAGAAGAAAGATCCATGTACTCTATTGCACAGAGAAAGGCCTCTTGAAACTACGTCGGTATACCGAGCAGCACCTGTCACCATGCGCTAAGTGTCAAGTCTCGCGGCCCCAATTGTCCAACAGTTGCGCCCGCCAAAAGGCCACTATGCGGTCGAGAAGCCTGGTGGGCGAAAGGGAGAGCGGATAGAACATGACGTGGGCGTCCTTCCCGCACAGGTACCTCGGGCTGGGGTACCTGCGCCGCAGTTAGGGCACACCCAAAGGACATCCAAATGTTGGGGATTAATCCTAGTATATT